CGCCTACCATGTTTTTCCATAGTTATTGCACGAATGTAGAATATATATGTATAACGCTGAACGAAGTGTTACGTAATCTTCGGGACGTAATTCAATGCAAAATCACTATATACTGTAAGCGAGGAGTCGTCCGCTACTTTCCACTTTGGTGAAAGTGCACGGCTCTGGAATCGAGAAAGTTCAGATCGATCTGTAAATATCGCGTCGCATATAAAGTCATCTTTTGTAAATACGTGTAGCCCCCGTCGCGCGCGTTTTACATTAATACCAGCATCAGCCCTGAGAAACATTCTTATAAATGTTGAAAATTGCAAGGAATAAAAAAAAAAAGAATATTAATAATGAAACTCTGTCCTCTGCTATTTTCTTTGCAGATTCATTTGCTTCTGAGGAAGCTAACACGCTGATAAACAACTATGTATATGAAGCATGATAACGATACGGCGCCAGTGAATTCTTTGCAAGAATAAGGAGAATTTAATTTTTCGATATTGTAAATCAATTGCAATTTATTGTAATTTAATTTTTCGATATTGTAAATCAATTGCCAGGCAACTCTGTAGTGAGAATTCAGAACGAGTGATTCCCAACGTCTGGCAACTTTCGAATTAACGTTTCGGTTTCTAAATGAGTCATTTCTACGATTCTAATTGCACTGCAGCGGGTATCACTGATTACGTTTCTCGTTGCAAATTGAGATCGTGCGTCCTTTTCACTAACAATTGGAAATTACTAATCTGAAGAACCAAGTGTTAGTCTTAATCGATAATTAAGAATTACTGAGAAATACTTCGTTCAAAAGTTACATATTAGTGGATATCAAGTACTTTTGACTGAAATAGGTAAATATTAAATATTTTTGACTGACAACTAGAAATTATTAAATACGATTTACGATTAGAAATCTAAACGTTAAATTTCCAGCTCTCGCTCTTGACGATCATTCTACTGATCTAAATATCAAACGTTTGCACTGATTTTATCAAAAATTACTAATCTAAACGCCGTAAATATTAACACTAAACCGTACCAAGCGGGGCCAAATGGCCCCTTTTCAAAATTTACTTTAAAATCGTACATTCGTTGTTATTTCATTCGCTAATCTGACTTTTTCTAAATCCTTATATTATCTGATTATTCAATTTCCTGTTTTTCTCTTAGCTTAT